AAAAAAAAAAAAAAAAACAAAAAGTCTAAAAGGATGTCCTTCCTATCCACATTGAAGCTAAATTCTGTGATCCATCACTTCATGTAAGTTGTAACATTGCATCATTTAACATTGAGAGAAGCACACTGACCCTCCGGTGTCAAAGAAGCAAATTGTGGTAGCTTGGCCAAGAGGAAGTCACAAATACTGTGTTTCAATAACTTTGAAGTTGATGCATTATAACAAGTGTGAAAAGCATACCATAGTCCCTTTTAAGTTTTAATAATTTTGTATAATAGTCTTAGTCATTTTTATTTTCAATAAGTCATATTACAATTAAATCCTGTGTCCTATACCTTTCTCATGTTTGAAATTAAAAAAATTTTATATCAAAATCATTGCTCATTTAATCTCAATTAATAGAGCTCTGAAAAAAAATTATACTAATTAGTTAATATGTCATTCATGTTCCTCCCCCCCTTCCCCATTGNATTTTATATCAAAATCATTGCTCATTTAATCTCAATTAATAGAGCTCTGAAAAAAAATTATACTAATTAGTTAATATGTCATTCATGTTCCTCCCCCCCTTCCCCATTGCTTAAAATTTCTCATTTTCAATGCCTCGTATACAAATTCATTATATACAAAATAGATTGTAGAAGAACTCGAACATATGGCCTTTTTTAGTACAAACTTGTCATTTTGACAAAGAAAGAAGGGAAATTAGACAAAAACCTAAAAAAATAAAATAGGACACCAAGCGCATGAAACTCCTGTCATTACAAGGTATATAGGTTGGGTCAGATGGAAAAGTTGTCTCTGTGATTCGAATTTTTAATCTCTAAAATTATGATGAAGCAACCTTATTAATCTCGTTCTTTTATTCACGCTATCCGGCATTAGTTTTGCTTTTTTATTGCACAATATTCAGGAATTTACCAAAACAAATGTAAACAATTTCATGCAATCATAATCTAAACTTCTTATTTCATATAATCCAAAAGTACCTGAGGCATATCTACTGCATATCGGATATCTTCAAAAGTTATAGAAAGAGGTTCAAAAGGTAAAACCATTCCTAGCTTCCATTCTGGTTGTTCAATTTCACTAATATTCTCCACTCTTGATGACATTGATCTGGATGATACACTTCTTCTAACTTCGCTACCACTTTCTGCATATTGCCAAATCAGAAAAATACTATTAGAGACCCAAAAAATTTACAACCAAAGAACATTGATATCTTGCAATCACCCACCAGCAAAGCTCTTCCTTCTTGACCCTAATTCGACTACAAGCTCTCCAGTTTTGCTGGCATTTCTCTCAGACGAGGTTTCTCCTGATAGAATTGCCTGAGCCTTCCCAAGTGCTGCATCATAATAACCCTTTTATTGGGACTTGTTGGAGTATAGATAGTCTAGGTTTATTAGGATTTCTTTTCCCTTTTTTACCCTTACTAAGATTTTTATATTTGCCTAAACTACAAGGATGTTTAAGTCACTCTGTATTATTTTTGGATATATATACGGGGCTCTACTCTTAATTTGAGTATCCCTTTTCACTTACGTTTATTCCAAGTTGGTATCAGAGTCATACACTAACCCTACCTCAAACCCTAATCTTCTCCCTAACCTAGCCTCCACCGA